GAAGTTACATTACTGCCTGGTAGATGCGTTTAAAACAATCTCCTTGTGGAAGAAATGAAAACACACTGTATTTCTGAATCTAAATCCGAAGTGCTTCTCTACAGCTTATTACTGTACATTTTCATTTTCTCTCATTATTTGGTCATATTTTAATTGAGAAATTTAATTGATCTTTTGGTTACTTCGCCAACTTTATACACGTAAAGCTTTCAGCTGTCGACCTGGTGCTCTTTTGTTTTGGTATATGAAAATCTTTCTTGCTATATTTCTGTGATTTGATGATTGCTTCCATACCATCATTCTTGTGATTTTGTATATTTTGGTGTTCAAAGTTGAAAACGGTTCACGTTTCAATTTATGTTAATATTATTCTTTTATCCTTCTGGACTGGAGAATGGTGAGGCCTTAACCATGGAGCCTAGTTATATCATTGAAGGGCATGTATGCTACTTGACTATGTGCAATCGTTCTTATCCTAAGAAGCTTGCTTTTCAATATCTTGAAGACATAAAGAATGAATTTGAGCGTGCATATGGGAATCAGATAGAAACTGCTGCAAGACCATATGCTTTCATAAAATTTGGTAAGCTTTTTTTCTCTGTGGCCTCTTGTTGTATTTGCAAGTATTGTTATGTAATTATTTCTTCTTATATGTGATTTGCTTTCTGATCATTCTCTTGCATTTATCAGACACTTTTATGCAGAGGACAAAGAAACTGTACCAGGATACAAGAACTCAACGGAATATTGCAAAGTTGAATGATGAACTCTATGAGGTGCACCAGATAATGACCCGCAATGTACAAGAGGTCCTTGGTGTTGGTGAAAAGTTGGATCGTAAGTGATTTAGCCATTTCTGTAATACTAAGAACTGAATGGTGTTGGATTAATGAATAACTCGGCCGTGAAACTCATTTGCACTTGCTAGGCCATAATTGAACCTCCTGGGGACTCTTATGTGGCCTTTCTAGTTGACCCCTAGTTTATTATCATTTTTTCTCCACTTGTTTGGGATTGTTTCTCATCTTCTTCCTATGTTTATCTTTCGTTTTCTTTTTTGGTTTCCTTTTGTTTTTGTGCCATTTTCCCATTGAATATCTGATGTTATATTTAGACAATATTAATTTCTGCAGAGGTCAGTCAGATGTCCAGTCGCTTGACTTCTGAATCTCGCATATACGCTGAGAAGGCAAAAGATTTAAACCGCCAGGTTAGTTTATTGAACATTTTTGTTAGAAAGCAGGTTACGATGAACAGACTCTTGCCTTGCTCTTTCTGAAGCTTTCACTATTTAATTTTTGTCGAAGTTCTATTCAGAAATATTTTAGCCCTTCTTCAGGCCTAAGACCCAAAACAAGGGGCTTTATCCAACAACCTAACTTTTGATATATTATCTCTGATTTTTTTTTTTCGTGAATTTGTCTTGAATTGTGTCATTTTAGTTCCTTACGTTCCTTAGAGGCTCTTATTAATGACTTGTCCATCTTCTTTCCGAGTGTAGGCTCTGATTCGGAAGTGGGCCCCTGTTGCCATTGTTCTAGGAGTCGTTTTCCTCCTGATGTATGTCAGAAAGAAATTTTGGTGAATGCTGCTACTTGATGGAGCTATTTCTGTTGGAACATTTTATACTCTCTATAAGAGCTGTGTTCAACTCTTTGAAGTCTGACAAGGATATATTTCCTTATGAGGGCAAGACAAATTTAATCTGTTGGATGTAGAATTTCTTTTTTTTTTTTTTGTAGAACAGCAGAGCCAAGGGGCTGATGTACACAGATTATCTACTTATACATGAACCAGTTATATTGTTAACATCATGATGATCTTTTTCCGGGCATTGTTGGGCATTGTTTGTTGCATTTGCAGTAACAAATACGTTCAAATTCTGCAAAACCTAGTGTGTTTGAACTTCTCATTGAACTTCATGTCAACTTGAAATACAAACGAGTAATAATGCATGATGTTATTTTTGCAAGAAATTCATAACAGATCTCATCAAATGCATACACCAAAGATATCTATAAATAAACGCCACAATGAGGGCCATTATAGTCGAAAAGCAAGAGACCGAAAAACAAACCATCCAAAGGGGGGACTCACAATCACAGCTCAAACTCCCACAAGCAGGCAGAGCATTCTCACGGCAACAGATACACAACGATATTACAAAAACATCCAGTAGAAAATTTTATAAATAAAAAAGGA